CACTCCAACATCAATATGATAAATGTTTTTCGCTTGCTCCATTAGTTCGGATGCTTTTTAAGTTTCCTGAGTATTTTACCCCATACTCGTAAAATTGCTTGTGACTCCTGGAATTTTGTCGCTCGCCTGAGATAAATATTTAACCGAATAACTTAGATATTTGAGCTTTGAAAGGGTTTATTTTGCTTTAAACCTCCCGTTTTCATCTTTATGACAAGTCCCCGGTCTTATGCTATGGCGAGTTTAAAGGGTGGATACGAATATTTTATCATATTCCCAAGCTTAAGTATTTTACTTTCGGATCTCACTATATTGCTGAGACAAACAAAGTCTAAAATTCAGTATATTTTAAGATATAACAAATTACTTGGGCATATACCAAGTCAATCATCCGATGCTACAAATTATCTTAACTACTATGGCGGAGGACTCAGAGCTAGGTAGATCTCCTTGTCGCTTCAACCAAGCTGAGAAAACAAAGTAAAATCAACCCAATAAAATACCTTGTTAATGTAATGCCATATTCACTTTATTGTCTATAATCTAATTATCGCTGATTTCTTACCCGTATTGCTAATAACATACTTCTTATCTCCATTCAATCGTGATTTGAGTGTTTTGATTTTATGTGTCTCTGGGATTTAGCTTCCTTATTATGCACCAATTCACTAATTTTTTCGCAAGTAGGATCTACTTATTATTTCTCCTTTGTGCTTATCTCCATGTAGTTTATTTTCCATTTCTAGTATTTATCGAATTCGTTCCACTATCACTATCTTCAGGGCTCCAATTGACGCATCAGACCTCTCTTCCGGCAAATCTCACCGATAGATTCCATCGCCAAACTAAACTTGAGAATGAAATTGAGGATTTCCTAAGATCCCGTACTCCCCGTGAGGCAAGGGAGGAGGCCATACGTCGACGCGTTGAGGCAATGCGCTCCAGAATGCATATTGCTGACAGGGACCGACAGATTTCCTGGTCTTCTTGGAGGCTGGGTCGTAACCTTACCCACTACCTGGGTTCTGGCAACTTTTTAACTGGGCTTGCTCTTGGTGTGGCTCTGCTTTCAGTTGGCGCCTATTACTTTTTTTCTTACAACTAGAATTTAGTGCGAGTTCTAATCCTATACCTATTCGCTTGATTACTGAGAACTTTGCCTCGTTAAGTGCCTCTTTCCATTAGAACTTTTTTCTGCCTGTCGATCTGTGCATTTTTCTTATGAATCCCTATAGTCTTCCGTTTGTTCTTCTAGATAACTCTCAGTTATCTTCTTCTGTGCATATTTCATGTCTATTAATTTAATATAGAATTTACTAAATTCACAATCCATACTATTTTGAGGCTTGTCGCATCTGCCTATTCGGGTTTACTATGCATATGCACATATTTTATCATTTATTTTTGTACGCCTGTCCCGAAGACTATTCCTTCTCCATTCCTCACGTATATATACATTTAAGTTATCTGACTGAATTCTCTAAATTCACGTGCACTTTTTCTCCAGTGGATCCAATTAACGTTCTTTCATCAAACATTTTATACTACTATCCACTTATACATATATATTTTTATTCTATTAAATTGGCAAACTGTCCTCTCCTCATGTTGATTAAAGCCATAATCCACATTCTTTACTCGGAAAAAAGTTTTATTCAATCTTTTTTCTGAATTAATATGTACAATATCTGGAAAGTTAATTGAGTCTTTCTTCCCATCCAGCCTATCCTTTGTTATGCATAGTTCTTTTATCGGCCACTTAGAAATCGCAGGTCTTAGCTCTTTTTCGATCTAGAGGTGACTACTTTTTGTCATTGTGCTCTTTTCATGAGATTATATGTAAACCAACATATGCTGGCGGCTTTCTGATCTTTCATATACTTGATAGTTCATGTAAATGCCTGTTTCGCCAAATTCCTATCGCCACGAAGCTCGGAAAATCTTTTTACTGTTGAACTTTTATTATTATATTCCAAACTCTAAGTTTTCGCTGAATTTTTGTTTTGTGATACACACTGTCAATCAATATTATCCCCTGCTGTGAATGTCTTTGATTTATGTAAATTTTCATATGATAATCCAAACGTGGAGAGATCTGATTAACTTACGCTTGCTTGTTCTCACAGGCATTAGAGAGATTCTGTTTTTACAATTCCATACTATTACTTTATTCTAAATATGACTGCATATCAATTCAACTTCGTCTGTTAATAGGACAGATACTTATTCTTCAATCAATAATTACATCTACATTCATGTTTGGCTTATGTTCATTGTCCAAACTACCATTTATGACTGGGTTGTTAGCCAAGGTTGATCAAGCCAAAAAATTTTTGCACTAGTTCTGAATATTATTCGTATTTGGCCTAACAATGCACTATCAGCTTAGCGTTCAACTATAGCTTGGTGTTCTTTACAACAAAATTTCTCTTTTTTATTAGTTTAATGTGAAGATAGTTAATATAATATTATCCTTAATATATGCATTGTTTTATTTTATTTAATTGGCC